AGCCCGAATATTGGTTAAACGTATGCACCGCCTTGGATTCATTTGTTTTTACGCCTGTTGGCGGTGCAAACCATGCAAGCTTTTTCTTTCTCCTAAGTTGTTAATTAAAAAAATAATAATCATATAAAAAATATAGGTCCTAATAGCCTAAATTTTATCCTTATTTTCTCAAAATGTATCAGCAGATCCGATGAGGCCCGAGTTATTATATGTTTTGGAACTTAATGATTTAATTAATTATTGCCTCTAATGCATCGATTGTGCGCATTATCCTACGCGCCAAGAAAAAATATTGCATTAGTCTAAATTTATTATTTATTTCATTCCGCTCTTTCACGTATAATTTGCCTCTTGCTTCTCATACGGAAAGAGTTAGATTAAAATAGCCCAACTGTACCTAACAACCCATGCCTTGACGCATATTCTTTTTTATAATAATATTGGCTTTCCCAGACTAAACATCCATATCCATAAAATAGTTGGCCCACACACTGATAAGACCCCATTTCGGCCCTCGAACGTCCTTGCTCTATTCGATGATCAACGCCGGCTAAACTATCGACTTACGTGTTGACAAGTTGATTAGGCAGGTTATTGAACTTGGACAGTACCATGTCGCCTCTAGCATGTCGTTTTTTCAAAGACGGGTCCCATATAAACGCGGCTAGAAGTATTTTCAATACTAAAATAAAAAGATGCGCAACCATATCGGCGATTTTGTGGCACAAAACCTGTTCGAGATGTATCTGGCGTTACCGTCAGCCTGTCCGATGATTCCGAGATTTAGTTTAGCTCTGCGCCGTTGCTCGCTGAGAGTCGTTTACAGAGCAGCGGATAAAGAATACTGTACCGTAGTTCTGCTTTCAGTCGACAGAGTGAGTGAGTGGTTGCTGGAGACAGTGTTGCCAGAACTACTGGTTAATCCGTAGATTTAAGGGTTTTGGGTAAAGGTACGTTAATAATACAGATTTTCTATCATTATACAATTTAATATAATATTGTATGATTGAACAAAGAACATATTTCGTATGTAAAATATTATGGTAAATGTCAATGATCGTAATTTCCAAGTGAACTAAACGACGGTTTTCAATCATACGACATATTCAGTACTTATAAAAGAATTCTTATTTTTGTTGTTTATTCTATGTTTAACACGAATAAATTTTCAATACATAAACGCGGATTTGTCATCCAAAGATATGATCGTCAAACGTATTACAGATACTACACATTTTAATGTGGCAACACTGTGGCTTTCAGATTTACACCATCTTCGATATGCCTTCTCTGGCCGAATTAGAGAAAATCAGTGTTTTATGCGTTGACCGATATTGACTTTTTATATTATAATAATTAATTGTATTGATAAAATTGTATTATATTTTCAAAAAGCAAATCTCTCTAGGCTAAATCTTAGCAAACTCAAACTATTAAATTTAATGTAAATGTTGTAAATAATGAATAACCTGTTTTAAAAATTATACAACCGAATTTATAATCGATTGGATAATAAATTTTGCAAAATATACCTTCCAAATAAACATAAAAAATATTAAAAACAAATAATATTTTTATTTGGCATTTAATTATTATTGAGAAATAAAGATGATAAATATTTCTTGTTGGGATTTAAATGAGAGACGCTGTGAATACAAAATCGTACAAATTTATAATTTGTGTCTTTACGTAAAACAGGTAATTGTTTGCAAGGACACTTTCCAAGGAAATTTTGTAGTAATATAAAACTAGATACTGTTTAATATAATTTAAATGTTTGTATACAGGTTGGTGCGAGTTGTATTCGGGAAACATTGATATTATATACCGGGTGTTTGTTTCTCAAAGGTGGCTCACCCCTATAACTTTTTTATTTTTTCAAATAAAAAACATATTTGGTATGTTAGTACATGACATAAATTAGGATTGATTGACGTAATAAATTGTTTCCGGTCACTCCCTGTTTCACCGGAAATGACTACAACTTCGAATTTTTAAATGGCATTCTCGGTATTTTGTTACTTTATTCATAAAAAATATAAAAGAAAGTAATAATTGTGTTTAAAAAATAATTGTGTTGGTAATAAATTTCAATCTACATTGTTAAACACAAATTTTTAATCAAAGGGCCTTGGAAAAATAGATTTGGTTTTCTACTGTTTTTCGTGTCCTGTCCTGCCCGGTCAAAAGATGTCCAAATAGTATTTTCAATCGTATATCAATTTTTTCAAATGAAAGGGAGGAATTTAGAAGTAATTCGGTCCAATTATGCTCAGGCAAATTATTTTTAAATTTAGAAATTGCGCCTTTTCTATCTAAATAATTTTTACTAACATTCTAAGCTCCGGTTTGTCAATAGGAAAGCCGAACTCAGCCAATGTTATTATATTTGCTACTATCATACCTTCCTCTTCCTTAGACAAAACTATTTGCCCTCCATAATGTTTTTTCTTCTGATCCCCTAACTTTAAATTTAATTGCAGTATGCTTCTGGGAATTCTATATACCTTTGATGCATCTCTAGCGTTAGCTCTTATCTATGCTACAGCTTTTTCAATTTCATATCATACTTTTGATGTTCCAGAATTTTTTCCAGAACATCTTTCCCAAATTGGCCATAGTCACCTACGCAGGCCTAAGTCACCCCAGTTTACGGTATTTCTTTTGCATAATCTAAATTTTACATAACCAAATTGTCACTCTAAATCGCTGACTTTTTTAGACAGATGTCACTTGTCTTGTCATTATTCAATTCAATATTCGAATTTCCAATTGTCAATAAACTACCTTCAGTGGCTGGGATAGAAAAATATTGTAACAGGGGATGTCGACGAAACTGTTCTCCTGACATATTTTCAAGAAATCGTATGTGACATTAATTATTACTCAAAATCTTTCTTGTATTTCATGGTTGTTACCTAACAAAGGCAGAAGAAACTGTGGCATTTTAATTCCCGTTAATAACGTACTAAGGGAGTTATAACCCATACAGCACGTCCAAATGAAATTACGTTTCTACAAGGGAGACACATGAGAAACAAAATATGTTAAAGTGAACCTAAGTGTTCATCAATTCTAACATATACATATGAGATACACGCAGGTTTATATTGATTGAATTGTGTGATACAGTGTTTATACTAGTTGTATACCGTATGCACTCAAGATTCTAAAGAGTTTTTTGTAACGTAACAAATAATTATTAAAATGATGAAATCTGACGTCGGTATATGAGACATACAATGTATAAATCATATGTATGTGTGATACTTCGTATCATAGTTGTGCCTATAGTACACACATTGTAAAAATGTGACGTATACACATAATATAAATATCTATATAGACACTTTGTAATAGTGTACTGTTGTGTCTACATTCTAGCATGAAATGAAGGTGTGCGCACGCGCGGATAGCCTCAGCGTAGATACACCGACTAAGTGTATCTTATGTGTCCTCTCTCCTTCCTCCTTTCTAGAAGTGGTATGTGTTAGCAGCCATTATTGTTTTATCTTTCGGAAGCTCTATATAAATGTTCTGTTTGTGTGTAGTTTAAAAGAGATTTTAAGGTAAGCACAAGTGTTTAATTGCCTTGTTACACCTTCCTAAGAGTATTATTAATATTATAGCAGCGACTCTTCCCTTACTCGATACCTAATTTACCAAATTTTGACACCAATGAATGAAAACTCCAAATATTCTCGTATAATGATAAAGAGGTTAGCTCTGCAATATATTTTTTTTTAATTTGGAAATAATAAAAATCTAAATGGGCCAGAGAAAGAAAGAACATCTTACACTGATATTCGGTAAGTTATTGATAGATCAATATATAGATATGTTTAATATTCAATAATCAGTTTCATATAAAATTTAAGGGTGAGATTGTTAATCTGGAAATAAAATACAACAAAGTCCAACAGAGTGCTCGTTGAATGAGTATGCTAACAAACCAACTGCTTGGAGGGAAAAGAAGAGAAAAAAATGACTAAAGGAGGTCCACCAAATCGTGGCGATATACCAGTGTTTACCATTTTAGTATGTTGTTATACTAGGTACTTATATTTTTAATACATTTTGATACAAATTCTGTTCTTTTACAATGTTTTCTTATTTATGGTTTGTGCAGTGTAAATAATTATTATTATTGTGTTATTTGCGCTATTGCGTTTCATGATATAAAAAATATAAGAATTTTATTTTTTAACCACTTAATCCATTTTATGGAAGAAAAATGGTACATTTAATACAAAACAAAAATGGAACAATTTTAAGGCTACTTCTCTTGAACTTACGATCGAGATACTTTTGGAAAATACAAAGTTTTGCCTTCCTAATTTTCGTTCTAAAAAGATATAATTGGTATCATTGAATACATATTTCTTAAAAAGAACGAAAAGTTAGGCATCAAAACTTGTATTATTTCCTAAATTCGTTCATAAGAAGTAGTTTTATCTAGCACAAGATGTATATACGAAGCAAAATACATACCTATACACGCGGTAGTCACAACTGCAATGTGTAAACAGAGTTTAAACCTAATACACAAGCACTGTGTATCCTACGGCACACTGTATATTCCTTACTTTGTATATACGTAAATGCTATACTGTGGCTATATTGTGTGAGGCGGACGTTTAACCTTTGTGCATACGTGTTGAACTACAATGTGTAAACGTAGCATATTTACATCGGGGGAATTGTGTCACCCTGTGTCTACATCTAATAATGTAAACACATCGTAAATGTGATTTGATGTGCTGTATGGGAATTCAGTAAGAAATAAACTGTTTTAACCTATGGTTTTAACCATAAAAAAAAAACAAGTTTTGCTAGAAAAAATTGCTTTTTCAACCCTGTCCAGCCCCCAGCCTCTAATATTTCAGCTTGAATCTCTGTGTATTCCGTTCCTGCAACATAAGCTCCCCCTCCCACCGCCCCTGGTTAGGCAGCCAGGTCCGGACTCGGCAACCCGAATTCGCTTCTGAAGAACGGGCTTGTGGAAGAAAAGCCGTCGCTTGGGCCGAGCCTCGGCCAATATTCAACCGGCAGCAGTACGAGTGACGTCGCTCGTTGGTGGTCGCTTCAAAGTAGGCCGTGGTATAAAAGCTGAAACGTGGGTCAGCCAGGTCCTGTCATTTTGCGCTCGCACTGCTGCAGACGTGCGTCGTCGGCTCTACTGTACATTCGTTATCGTGCGACTTGACTGATACCTCTTTAGTTTTCGTTCGTTCCTTGTTATGGCGCGCTCAACAGCCGCCGACTCGAAGCTGCTGCTGATCGCTGTGGTCGCGTCGATATGTGCCTTCGCCGGTAAGTTCAAACTTGAATAATTCTTGTTCTTTTTTTTTCGGTTGGAATGGTGGCGGCCATCTTGCTGGTAGATACATACACCAACGCAAAAACGAAAGGTTTTCTTGAATACCATTGGTGTTTATTGTTTGTGCCACAACAGCTGTTTGATTTTTTTTGTATTAAAATTTAGAGTCTTGCTAGAAATAAATTTGAAAAAGAATCTTACCAGCTCGTTAAATAATTTCTATAGGTCCTTTTATATTCCTCAAAGAATACCGGTGGACTCTTTGGAGTTACCTACAATACAAGAAATGACCCACAACTCTGAAAAATCCAGATAAAAGACTTCAAAAAAAGTGTTTTGATCAGCTAGTTACATATTTTTGAATTCATTTTCTTTCTTTAAATAAGTCAGTTAGATTTCTAGACTTTTTGGAGTTACAATAGAAAACTAGATATACAAATACCAGAAAATATAAAAAAAACTAGACAAAAGAATTAAAAAGTTATTTTGATCAGCTGAATACATACACTCACCGACACAATTTTTCATTTTAGTATTACAAACACACTTTCATTTTAGTATCTCTTTTTAAATAAAAGTTTCCATCTGTCAATTATACGAGGAAAAACAAAATGTTGATATTTTGGTGAAAGTTTTGAAACACCCTGTGGATTATGTCGCCAAAGCAAGCATTTTAGAAATTATTTTATCATCTAGGGTACGTTTTTCTCGATACTTTGTTTTTTGATTTATCGCAATAGCTCTAATTTTATTGGAGATATTCGCCTCTGAATAAGACAGTAACAAGATACATCAATTTTAGCATTAATTTTGAGTCCTTATCAATAATGTTTATTATTTTTGTAATGTTTATTATTTTTGTAATGTCACTGTCATTGAAAAGTCATATTTTTTATATCGTTTATTGGCGTTTACTCTAGTATAGATGGTTTTAAGGTATGAAGTACATATTTCTGTAAAATGCTTCCATTAATTGATTATTGCAGATATCAACTTTGGAACTAGCTACTTAGGGTAACTGCTCAACAGACAATAATAATATGATTTTTTCAGAAACATTACAGAAATCATAAACACTATTTTATAGATCTGTTGACTAGGTCCAAAAACAAAGGCATAGTTTTAATGTAAAAAATACGAAAAAAAGGTTAGAAGATACTAACCTTTTTTTCGTATTTTTCAAAAGCGAATATCTACAAAAAAAATAAAGCTATTGAGATGATTAAAAAAATAAACTATCGAGGAAAGATACACCTAGACGATGTGATTTTTTAATTCCTTGCTTTGTTAACGTACTCCACAGGGTGTTACAAACTTTCACCAAAATATCAAGATTTTGTTTTCCCGCGTATAATTGACAGATGGCAACTTTCATTTTTAATTTAGAAAGAGATACTAAAAAGTCAAATGATATAGCTTCAAATTGCTTAAAAACTTATCAAAATCGGTCCACTAAAACACAAAATATAAAACTATCAAATACATGAAAAGTTTAAGGTGTCTTTTATGTAAATTCATTTTACATCTCTAGATAAGTCACTTTTTGATTGCTAGACGTTTTGGAGTTACAATAGACAACTAAATAGAAAAATGAACCATAAATAAAATATAAAAATAGATAAAGGGTTCAAAAAGTATTTTGATCTGCTGATTACATATTTTTGAACTTGTTTTCATTCTTTAGATATGTAGTAGTAAGTATTTTTGTATATTTTCTTTATTTCTGTAATTTTCTTATCTAAACTAAGATTCCTTTAATTATTATTTGTTAGTCAATTTTTGGTCATATACAGGGTTTCGTTAAGAACAAATACAACTTGAATATTTTTTATTTGTAACAGCGTGCAAAACTCTAGTAGTCATAGTTATTTGTCTCATAGTTATTTGATGCAAGTGCGTATGTAATTTATTGAAGCCTATATTATACAGAAAACAAAATTAAAATACGTAAAAAAGTATTTTTTTATAATAAAAAAATGTGAATGCAAGCTAGAATTCAATAATTTATATAAGTCCTATAAATACTACTAATCAACATGTTGTTCGTACATTAAGGTGTAACTGTGTAAAGACATGTCATTAAAATATTTCGCTGAAAAATATTTTAATAGTTTTGCATAAGAAAAAATGTAGGAACGACTTATTACATTTCGTTCGTTCTCAGCTTTGTTGCTTTCCCTTTCGATATGACCAACATTGCGTAAAGCTTTTAAATCTTGACTGAATAATAAATAAATGCTGTTACTTAAAGACTGGTTAAAAATGCTGGATTTTCTGTAGTTATACAGGGTCTACCCAATATAACACTTGTCTACGAAAACATTTTTTTTTAGCCTTGGAACCATTCCTGCTCATTCTTATTTAAAATTTCGTCCTCAATAGAGCCCACCATTGTCAGGCGAGCTCCCCCCCCTCCCTATTTTTATCACTTTTCAATAAGACACTCAGATGCAAGAAAAAACTCGACGGAAGATTTTTTCAAGTTTAAAGTTTTTACTTTTAGCCCTATTTTTATGAATATTTTTTAACAAACTGTATATATAAATCTATAAACTTTAATTCATAAACTCAGTTTTTTACAGTTTTTTATAAACTTTAGTATTTGACTTATTATACAGGGTTAATTAAAGGGTTGTTTCTTACCCTAACTTTAAAACACCCTATGCAATAATTTCGTAATTTTTCCTAAAGCATTACTTTTTTTGTTTTTTAGCTTATATCAACATAGGCCTTGATTAATTTTTAAGAGCGAGATGAACTTGCCACCAACAATTTGCAATTTTTCCAACTATCATTACTTTGTGACTTACTATTTTTTTACTATCACGAAGTGGTAATGTCATATCGACAATGATTAGAACCCTATATTAAAATTTTAAAAATACTAAAAACTAACGATACAGGCTTGGTTTTAATAAATATTAGTAACACTGATAGAACTAAAGATATTAAAAAAAGTAACTGTAATAACAAAGTGTACAAACAAATAAAAAACTTGTAAAAAATACTATAATACTTTGTATTACCTTCCCCGGCTGCTACAACTGTCTGTAAAAAGGCAAGGGGGTTCAACTATTAATCAGGCTGCAAATATATTATGTTTTTTACCATTCTTCTTCAAGGACTAAGATAATATTCATAATTTCGGTCATCTTCAACAAGATCAATGACTTTTGCAGAATCTACTACACTAAGAACCATATTCAATTGTACACAACAATAATCAGCGTAAAGCAATCACCACCCATTTTGAAGAATATCATGAAAATGTAACGATAATTGAAAAAATTGCAAAATATTTGTGGCAAGTTCATTTTGCTCTTGATAATTAAGCAAGGTACGTGTTGACATGAGTGAAAAAACAAAATAATCAGGAGACATGGCTCTGACCGAAAAATAATGTTTTAGGAAAATTTTCTCACGAAATTATTGCATAGGGTGTTTTAAAGATAGGGTAAAAAACAACTCTTCGTTACTCTTGTATAATAAGTCAAATATTAAAGTTTATAATAAAATGAGTTAAAACAGTCTTTATGCCTTATCTGGATATTCCTCCTTGTATCATAGGGGAATTCTCCATACTCTTAATTATGGAATATCCATTAAGTCAAAGCCTTTTTTGATTCACTATGGCAAGTTCTTCGATTTACAAGAGAGTGAAATGTATACTGTTCATCTAAAATACCAACGCCCCATTAATATAAGATACCACCTATTTTTCCCCAACAAAACATTCCTAATATCCCTGTGTCCACTTTTTCCGACACACTCTCCATGGAAGTATCCTATTTCAGTTAATATGGAACTTTTTAAATTAAAAAAATCTGAAACATTCAGATATCTTTACAAAACTAGTCTAATACAAATCTTAGACGAAAAATATCGTGATTATATTTGTTTTTACACAGATGGTTCTATAACAATCTAATCTAATAAAGTTATGGAATTCTTAGAAAGCACCAACATAACGAAAAAACTTTAATTTCTAATAATTTAAAATGGCCTCATGTTGACTAAAGCTTGTTACTGAGCGCTAAGAAACCCTCGCTGTTGACGCGTTCTATAAACCAATACCCCTCTCTCTCTCTCTAAACTGAGTTTACGAATTACAGTTGATATATTAATACACAGTTTGCTAAAAAAATGAAAGGAAATAGGGCTAAAAATTAAAAAGAAATGTTACATTTTAAACTTTAAGTTCATATTCGGATTCTGGATATATGGTTATATATACAGGGTTGTTTACTACATGCGACACGGAGTATTGTAGCTAAACGATGAGGTTTTTACAAATTGTAAGTTTTGGGTTCGATGAAGGACTATTAGAGGTACAATTTAAAAATAATTTTACAAGATACAGAGTGTCCCAAACAAGTAAAAAATATCAAAGTTGTATTTTTTTAAACGGAACACCCTGTATATTATTACATTTTTAGTTTCTACGGTTAAAATAAAGGTAAATTTGATTAGGGTTTATTATACTTAAACCTTACCGTTTTTGAAATATTTTCAATTTTGTGAAATTGCAGTAAAAAATTTAAGGCTTCATTTCTCCAAGGGTATAGAAGTTTTTAATACTAAATATTTACTGAAGTTTATTTATTGATCAGTTATTGTGTTGCAATAATAAAAATAATACTACCTTATACAGAGTGTCTAAAAATTTGTTTTAAATAATTATCAGCTTCAAACGGCAATAACGTGTTTAATTTAAATGGAACACCCTGTATATTTTACGAGAATCAGATGCTCAATTTAATTTTCTATCAAATTGTATTATACCATTTTTTACCTATCTCTTTAAGTTTCCGTAGAAAATGCATTTTCTTGTAATTTAGAACTTATTTATCAATATACCCATGGAATATTGACATTTTAGATTATTTTTAAAGATGTACCAAATTTTTAAAGAGTACAGATACTAATATTGTCGATATAATTCGGTTATTTCACTAAAAAATAAAAAAAAACTGTTTAAATATTTGTTAAAGAG